TGCACTCTACCGAGTGCGCCACCGGGCCAGCCCTAAGACACTTCTTTTCTAAAGCAGGAGATTTACCTCTGACCTCCCTCCACGCCCCACTTCTGCTGGGTTGAGAGACAAAAGCCTGTGATATGGGCCCACCAGGGGTCTGCAGGCAGAGGGTGAAGCCCTGTCACCCCTGAGCCGTCCAGCCTGAGGGGAGGCAGCTGTGGCTGGAAGGTTTGAAAAACACCCTACACCAGGACCTCCTGATTGCTTTTTGGCTTCCTTTTTCGTCTCACACATCTCTCGCAAATTATCTCAGAAAAATAATGGCTGGGGGTTGGGTGGGCCATTGGCAAGTTCTAAAGGTCACATTATGGGGGAACAAAGGTCTCACGTGGGTTTCAGTTGGCATCCCTGGGGATGGAGCTAACAGTTATGTGATATCTACACTGTCATGTAGTCTAATTGCAACCCCCTACGAGCCTTTTATAAATAGTGGACACCAAGATTCAAAACTAGACTTGCAGACTCCAAAGTCCATATTCTTTCTCCCACCCAAGACTGGCTCACCCTGTTAGTCTGGAGGGCTCCTGAACTCTGCCTGCACTGCTTAGTTTGTGGTGTGCGCTGCTGACATCGCTCCATTTACAGGATGGGCGCCCGAGGTTTCTCCTCCATCCTTTCCTTCCCCTCTTCGCAGTCATTGCCCACATTTTTGTTTTCTTTTGTATCCTCTTCAGAGCGCTCAGCAAGGTGTTACACATGGAGAGGACACTGCATATTCTCAGTTAGGCTCGTCCCTGTGCAGTAAATGTCTAGAAATGCACATTCAAGTGGTTTCTCCTGAGGGGAAAGGAGGATGGATGTTTTATTATTTTTTTTGAAGATTCAGTTATGTCTTGTGTTGTTTTTCAGCTTTCTATAAATCTCAATTATTTCATATTAAATTAAAACATCTCCCTGAGACCTCTCTGAGGCCTAGTATCCTTGGCCCCACCCCACATAGTTCTTTTGAAGGGCCTTGGGGTGAGGACATTAGTAACCCCCACTCCTAATGATAGACCTCAGGGACTTAGGCCACTTCTAGGAGGGGGCCCCTCCGCAGGAGGCAGAGCATGGAGCTTTCTGAGAAAGCTGCCCCTCACTGCCCCTCACATAGCTTTAAATGTAAATGAAGCCTCCTGGGGAGAGGCATTGCACTCTGCAGACAGGGGCAGGACCAACCGGGGGCAAGATCTGCTGACTAGTTCCCTTCTATTGGGAAAATATGCCGCTGCCATCTCCTTTGGAGGGGGAGCGGGTGTCAGTGCTGTCTTAATTATACCTCCCCGGGCTGCCTCAGATCCTCCTACACTGCTGCAGCTCTGCTGACTGGGCCACAGCGTTCTCCTGATTACCAGCACTCAACTCGGGAAAAGCCCTTTTCCTCTCCACCTGCTGTTATCCTAGGTCAGGGAATGATTCAATTCTGAGCCTCACGTGGGAAATGCCCCTCTCCACGAAGCAGCTGAACATGAGGCCTACTGGTGGCATTGAGCGGGGCTGAAAGGGACCAGATTCCCTTCTTCACCACTGTCCTCTTCCCATCCCCACTGACAAGAGGGAAGGCTGCCTGGCCTTCTGGCCAGAGGTCACAGACCCTGGGTACCTGGAGCCAAGTATGGAGTGCAGGAAATACTCATATGAGAGCTGCAAAGGTCATAGCACTTGACAAGGCAACGTGGCCTGAGACTGTGAGCATCACACTGGGGGTCCAAAGGCCCCCAGCTCTGCCACCAGCTGTGCTACTTCCACCAAACCACTTTGCCTTTCTGGATTTCCGGGAGCCCCACCTGCAAGTTGGACATCCAAGTAGTGACTTCTCTCATTGGCTGTTAGATGAAAAAAATAGCAGTGTGTTTAAGGGCACATTCATAAGGCATTGCGAATAGTGCTTTGGGTTGCCAGGTCACCTTCCAGTTGGTTTTCTCTGGGTCTTGTCCCGCTGCAGAATGTCCTGTCATTTCATTCCTCAAACATGTGCTGAGCTCCTACAATGTGCCTGGCAGTGACAGAGTGCTAGAACTGCTCCCAAGCTGAGCATATTCATCAGTTCAGCAGATATTTGTTGGGCAGCTCCATGCCTGCCCCTGGGCAGGTACTGGAGATCTAAAGCTGGATTGGACTCATCACCTGCCCTGAGTGCACTGGCTAGTCAGCTAGTCAGAAGGCAGATGCCTAACTAAGGAATTGAGACAGGAAGAGGAAACTAGGAGCTCAGGGAAGCTTCTGGGAGTGTCACTGAGCTGTGCAGAGAGGGATGAATGGGTGGCAGTTAGAAGTAGGCTGATGAGAAGGGCGTTCCTCCAACAGGGAGGAAGTAGGTGCCAAGGGCCAAGTCAGACAGCAGCAAACTGCCCCTCGGCTTCCAGGCTGGTCATTCCCTCCCTGAAGGGCAGCAATGCTCCCAGGAGGGCCACGAGCAGACAGGACACACACACACATAGGACACACACACACACACACACAGAGGACATACACACACACCCCAGCACCTCAGAGACACACACACACACACACACACACATACAGCACCTCAGAGCCAGAGAGGAAACCAAGTCCACAGGTAAAAATCATACTTTTATTTGAGTCACCAGGAGAAAGATTCACTTGTGGTTCAAGTCAAATGTTCAGAATCATAACAGGTCAGAAAGATTTGATCCCGAGCACAAACCCACAAGGGAGGGGACCAAAACAGACCGAAAAAAGACAACAACCCCATATAAAAAAATGGACGGCTTCACACACACGGATGAAATGTTTGGACAGAGGCAAACTTCACATAGTGATTTCCGTTTCTTTTTAAATACAGGTTTGTGGGGTGGTATTTTTTGTTTCCAGCTATCACAAAAAAGGCCCCAAAGTGCAGATGTGAGGGGGGAAAAGGCAGAAATTAAGCAGAAAAGTAGTTTTCCCTGGAAGGACATGAGGGGGAGAAAACAGGAAGCGGCGTCAGGAGAGTTCGCTTTTCTCACCGCGGGGCCTCCTGCATTTTATTATTGGTCCACAAAAGTTATATTCACATTCTAGTTTCGATGCATCTTCTTTCCTGGAATTAGACTGGCTAAGAGACCTCTGTCAATTGTAAGAAAAGACCAGGGGCTCAGTCCAGCCCGCAGGGTTCTGTGCTCTTGTAGGGACAGATGGTTCTGGTAAGGAACAAGGACTCCTAGTAGACCCTGGGTCCCTCAGCACCAGTGTGACAGTCCCTCCCCTCTCTGGGGGTGTCTAAGAAAATGTCCCCTATTTATAGAATGAGAAGAGCAGAGGCAAGGGCGGGCAGCGAGGTGCCAGTGGCTGGCTTGCTTTGTTCTGGAGGAAAATGAAGCCGAGTGACCACAGGCAGCTTCTGAGGACAGTCCTACCTCTTCCCACTCACTCACCACCCTCGCAACCACAGGCCCTCCAACAGGATGTGTCACTGACCTTTGCTCCCGGAGTCCACATTGTGCTTTGAGATCACGAGGAAATGCAATGGGCCAGCCCCTCCCTCTAGTCCCCAAATGCCCCATAGAAGACACTCTGCCTGCCCTCACCTCGACTGGGGCCAAAAAGGAAGAGGGATTGGTCAGGCAGACTTCCTCACCCAGTCATTTCCTCAGCCTCTGATTTTGGGTAAATATTCCCAAATCAACTAACAAGCAGTTGACAAAAACATCCCTGATGACTTGATTCTTGAATAGGCCACCACCTTCAGGCCCTGTCCCTCATCTGCAGGGTACACGCGCACAAAGGGACAAGATGTCAATTGTGAGGCCTGGTTGGACTCAGGATGAAGAAAGGAGGGGAAGACCCAGAGGGGTGACAAGAAAACCCAGAGATGAGTAACATCAGGCCAGGGTGGTCACAGTTGTCAACAAGCAGAGAGAAGGAACTTGGGTATAGCACCAACTTTCTCTTCCCCATCCCGGAGTCTGTGCTTCCAGTTTTGTAGCCCTGGGACCCTCCGTCTCCCTTGCTTCAAGGGGGCTCTACGTAAGTGATGGGGAGGCCTGGCGGGAGAGCCCAGAGTGAGGCACCCACAGCGTGGCTGACACAGGGACGGGAGCAGGGAATATGCCTGGAGCCACGAAGTTGTCCCCTCACCCTCCCACCAAGCAGGCTACAGGCCCAAGAGCTGCGCCCACCACCTCCACAACCATTCCCTTACTTGTGCCCAGCACACTGCAAAGGAGGGTAGGTGGGCTTCCTCCATTTAAATAGGAGTTTCACTCCAAAGAAAACATAGGAACATCTCTCCCCGAGGGGCTCCCCTCTCACTGTGGGTTTTGAAGAAAATATTGGGGAAGACGGCTCCGCGCGCCTCACACTCACCCAACTGCACGTAAGCCCAGAGGCACCTGCAGACACGCGCCCGCCCTTTTCCACCCTCGCACACTCCCTGTCATGAGCACCTGCAGACAACATGCCCCCACCCCTGCATGCCAGGTCTTGGAGATACAGAGGTTCCTGCTGGCTTTGCATTGCTCCAAGTCCGTCTGGCATGGGCCAGGGAGGGGAGGCCATGGGAAGCCCTTGGACATCTTCCCATAAGGGGCAGGGAGAAGCAGCCCACTTAACCCAGATCCCAGGGGCTGGGGGCCGGAGCAGGCCCAGAGGCCCCAGGCGTCCTTGCCCTGCCCTTCAGGACACAGCTTCCAGCCAAGGAGGCAAGCAAAGGTCCCTGGAGATTGGGGGTGGGAGTGGGGGAAAGGGCTGTAGGAGAGAACACCCTGTTCCCCTCCTTCCTGCAGCTGTTCCTAAAATTAAAAAGGCAAGAACTTGACCCAAGCTGTGCTTCCTGGGAGCTCTTCACCCACTGCAGGTCTGTGAGGGCAGGAGGGCAAGATCACAGTGTGAGAAGGAACACTGGGGAGGGTTGATCCGCCCCAGCGCGGGAGCTCTGCACTCCTTGTGTTGCCCTAGAGGAGGAAGAGGGATGGAGGGAGACTCCTGCTTAGGCCAGCAGCCCTCTTTGCTGAAGCGAGGCAAAGCCCATCGCACTGGTCCCTACACAACAGCAGAGTCCCCTGTCCCCATCCCAGGGGGTGGGTGGGATCCCACTCCAGGGAATGCATGGAGCCCCTGTCTGGGGGGGTCTGGGGCTTAACCCAGCCCTGGAATGTCTGGATATAGGAGGAGCTGGGCAGGAGGGGACAGAGAGAGACAGGCGAGGCCCAGGAGCCAACGAGTGTCCCATGCCAGCCTGGCCCACAGGCCTCGCCCTCCCCGATGGGGCCCTGTTCCATCCAGAGAGAAAACCAACAAGTCAGTCAAGGGAAAAACCTGCCAGAGGAAGGAGCCCGTGAAAGTGGCAGAACAAGGCTTCGGTTGGCAAAAGAAGCTGGAGGAAGGGCGGGAACACACAAGCTGTCGCAGATTTTAAAAAACAGAGACACTGAAGGGTGGCAGGCCACGCGCGGGGCGGATGCGATGCTGTGGGATGCACTGGAGACAGACGAGGCGGCCACGTGGGGCTCAGATGGCCTCCACGTAGTTGGCCGGCAGCATCCCTGTGTCGCCGGTGCGCTCCACGGTCCCGTACATCCAGCCGTCGTCGATCTGCTGCACGTTGACGATGGTGTCCCCATCCTGGAAGGAGACCTCGTCCTCGTCGGCAGCGCTGTAGTCGTACACAGCCCGGTACCGCTTCTGTCGGGGGAGCACAGTCAGCCTGGGCCCGGGACGCAGGCTCGCCCGCTGCCCTCCTGGGTCTGGCATTTCTTTCTAACTTTCTAGGGAACTGGGGCAGAGCTCAGGGAACAGTGAACTGAGAGATGGGGGATTAGGCTCTGCCGTGAATTTTCTCACCTCTGTGTCTCGTTTTCTGAGAGCAATCACCCTCGCACAACGTATCTGGCAGCTACTAAGGGCCAGACATAGGACAGGGACTGAGGTCACATCAGCTCTGCCACCTCCCCCAACAGGAATGCAGTAAGGTCCAACAGTCACAGTGCCAGGGTAGTGTCTAAATATATGACGTGCCCTGTCTGTGATTATTTGTATTATAAGCATCAGTGTTTTCTTTTTGAAGCTGTGATGAGTCTGGTTTCACACAGGACAAAGACCTTTCCTTGGGAAAAAAATCTTCAGGGAACATAAGAGGTTTCTATCAGGTTCCACCTTCCAAACCTCAGCCAAAAATCTTCTGTGCAAGCCCCAGCTCCAGTAATATCCAGTACATGCACGTGAAAGGCACCAGCAGGCTTGGAGGTAGACAACGTTCTAACTTCCCTCACCCTCACTGCCCTTGACATCAACTTGTCTCTGGGCTCCACAGGACACAGTCTGAATGAAACCCAGAGCCCTGTGGGACTAAAGGTCACACCCCTCACAAAGTGACTTGAGTCTCTCTTATCGCCAACTCTGCCTTTATCTTGAGCCATCTATTCCTGCATCCTGCAACAGCCTCCTAAATTGTCTCTCTGCTTCCACCCTCAAACTTTGCCTCTTCTCAACACAGCAGCCAGAGTGATCCTTTAAAAACGTAAGTTAAACCTTGTCACTCTGCCAGTGCTATGGATTGAATGTCCCCCCAAAACCATTGAAGCTTGACCCCCATTGCACGTGTTAAGAGGGTGGGAAATCCTATTATGGTAATTGAAAGGTGATTAGATTGTGAGGACCAGGCCCTAGTGAATAGATTAATCCATTAATGGTTTAACAGTGGTCATGGGAGTGGTTCTGATGGCTTTAAAAGGAGAGCGCATGAGAAGCTCTCTCTCTGCCTCTCTCTCTGCCATCCTCGCCGTGTGACTTCCTGTGTTGCTGTGAAGAGTCACCACCTAAGAACAAGATCGTCACCAGATGTATTCCTTGGACTTTGGATTTCCCAGCCTCTGAAACTGTAAGCAATAAATATTGTTTCTTTACAAATAACACAGTTTCAGGTATTTCTGTTACAGGCAACAGAAACAGACTAAAACAGCCAGACACAAAGGCCTTCCCGTGGCTTCCGAGTCCCCACATGATCGGACCTCTTCTCCTCTCTAGTCACCTTGGCCTTCCTAGAACTTTCATAGAATGTTCCTGCCACAGGGCCGTTGCGCTGCTGTTCTTCCTGCTCCACTCACCACCTCACGGTGCAGAGGACTTTGCTCAAATGTCACACCTTGACGCTGCTGCTCTCTATCCCTCACCTGCTTTTTCTTCACAGCATGTGCCACTGTCAGACCTTACATTATGTATGTACTTATTTACTGCTTTCTTGTCTGTCTCCCTGACTGGAATGGAAGCTCCAGGAGAGGAGGAAGGTGGTTTTTCATCCAGAGCCAAATCCCTCATGTCTAGGCCAGCTTAGTGAGTACTAATAGGAAAACTGGCTGGCCTATCTGGAACCCCGTCCTCCAGCCTGACCTCCTGGGCCTGTCTGGTGCGCCAGACAACACTGACACTGCCTCGTGTGTGTGTCCAGACCAGGAGGCTCTGCAGGCCACTTATCCCAGGCTATTTTATTTCTCTAAGTATCTGTCTCTCCTGCTGCTCTGTGAGCGGCTCTGAATTCCCAGGCACCCAGCACAGAGGAGCTGAACCCGTCCAGAGCGCAGTAAGGACGGCTCGGCCGCGTCGGTCAGCGGGATGAGCAGCAGGCGGTACAGGCCGGGAACTTCAGCTCGAAGGACTCGGTCAGCCTGATCCCACCGCCTTCCTGCTCGTGCTCGTTCACTTATTCAGCGAAGTTCTATGCCTGGCTCGGAGTAGGTGAGCCGAAGTGCGGGGGGGTCTGCCCCCTCCCCACAGAGCTTCAGTCTGGTGGGGGCACGGAGAAGACAGCAGGCACAGGGAAAAGGGGCTCTGAAGGAAACCGTGGGCTTGAGTGACAGAAAATGTCAAGGGAGACCCACTTTACGTGGGGTGGCTTGGGAGGGCCCTTCAGAGGCAGGGCAGGCTGAGACCTGAAGGACAAGGGGAGGTCGTGCTTATGAAGAGTGGGAGCAGGGCCCAGGTCTGGAAGGCACCAAGCAGAAGGGGCTTTGTGAGCTCCCAGGGAGCCAGCGCCGGAACGCAGGGCCCCAATCCCAGCCAGGCTCTGCTTACCACGCCACGCTTCCTCCCAGCGCCTGAGGCTGAGACTCCGCTTACCCTCACAGACAATAGGGGCTGGGGTCAAAGGTCAGGAGAGTCCCTGCAGCTGTGTCCAGGAGGCCTTCCCTGTGGCCCACCCACCTCTGACCTCCAACCTCCAGGGTCCCTACTCACCCCGCCCCCGCCTGGAGCACTCCGCTGTATGGAGACTGGGGCTGCAGGCTCCTTGTAGCCATAGGACTGGGCAGCTGGCTGCTGCTGGGGCTGCTGGTAAACTGGAAGATGGAAGGCAACGGGGCTCAGCACTGCCTTGCCGAACCCAGACCCTCCCAGAGCCCCCTCCATGCAGCCCAGGCTATGAATTCCCACCCCACCCCCCAACCCTGCACGACCCCCACTTCTCAAAGGCTTGTGTCTACGTGTGCACATTTGCTTGTGTTGTATATCCTACAGCAGGGGCCGTGTGTCCCGTCACACGGGGGGCCTGCTCTTCTGATCCCCTCTGCCCAGCACAGGTCACCCCTAGCGCTTATGCCCTTGGGGGGAATGGGACCCAGAGGTTTGAGGAGTAGTGACGGGTGTGGGTGTGGGTTTGTGGGGGGTCCTGGCCTCAGGTCCTCTGTCCCCACAGGCCCTGCACTCACCAGGGGTGCTGGTCGGGATGTGGTGTGGCTGCTGCTGCTGCTCAGGGGGCCGCCGGTAGCTGCTGTTGTCCTGGGAATCTCGGCGCTCCGGCTCCATGCCCTCGCCCCCGCTGGGGCCCATGCGGCTCTTCTCAAACTCCTCATGGTACTTGATCTGCAGAGGCAGAGGGCACCGGGTGAAGGATCCCACAGCAACCCAACCAGTCCCTTCCTCTTGGCACTCAAGATCCAGGATGGGAGAGACTCCCTGACGACTCCAGACAGACAGCGCCAGGTCTCATCCCAGGAGCACCAGCTGTGTGCCCTTGGACAAGCTATTTAACCTTGCCAAGCCTCAGTTTCCACCTCTGTAAAGTGGTACATCAGTCTCTACCTCTGGTGTTGGACGATGCAATGAGATGACAGATGTAAAAGGAACATGCAAACTAAAGCATTGGACAAACACGAGTTGTCACTTTGATGTGCCTGTGTCAGGGGCTGAGGGCTGCCCTGCTACCCCTGGTCAGCAGTGACAACAGCAGCAACTCCTGCTTCTGAGCTCTCACTATGTGCCAGGCACTGCGCTAGGTGTTTTACATCACAGGTCCACTTTACCTTGCCAGCACCTACAAGGGGGAACACTGCGGCCCCCACGTAACAGACAAGTAGGGAACTAAGGCACTGACAAGCAATGTGAGTTGCCCAAGATCATACAGATTCCAGAGCCTGCGCTTTCCAGCATTAGGCGATTCTGCCTCTCACAGAGTCCAGAGTCCTGGGGTGCACAGCAGACAGGAGATGCAGGAACAGGAGAAGCTGGACCCTCCCTGAGGCTGGGATGCCATCTTGGAGATAAGGTCCTCCTCTTGCCAAGTTCCAAAAAAGGGCAAAGAGAGGCCCAGAGAAGCCAGCTGCTCCAGACCACCCACAGGGCAGGCACCCGAGGCTCCGACAATCCAGTCTCTTGCCCCCACAGTGCACTATTGACCTCACCTCCATCACCAACACCCAAGAGTCTTAAATTGGGCTTCATGTTCTTTGAGGACTGAGACTCAGGTCAGCTTGACGCCAGCGGCATCAGCCAGCAAGGCCAGGACGAGGGGAGGAACCACCCACAGCTCCCTGTGCCCACTGGCCTCCCTGCCTCTAGCTGCTCAGTGCGGTGTGATGCCGCAGCTTCAGACCTCGCCCTGCAGTCCAGCTCCTCTAACCCTCCCCAAGCACCAAGCCCAGTGCCCAGCCCAATATGGGACAGGGGAAGAGACACAATCCCTGTTCCCAGGCACCCGCATCTCAGGTGGGCATGGAGACTCATGTTGGGTGCATCTGTAGCAAGAACTACACACAAGAAATGCAGGTGATGAGAATCTGGGCCACCCACTGAGCAGGGCCCAGACGGCCCGTGGCACATGCACGTGGGATGATGCTCCCCGTGGACACCATGTACCGTCCACTCCTTCCTGTGATGGCAGAGTGACCAGGAATGAAGGAGGGAAACCTGCTTCTGTGAATGCAGTGTATTCCTGTGACCACAGGCACATGGAGACTCATGTTGGGTGCATCTGTAGCAAGAACTACACACAAGAAATGCAGGTGATGATAATCTGGGCCACCCACTGAGCAGGGCCCAGACGGCCCGTGGCACATGCACGTGGGATGACGCTCCCCGTGGACACCATGTACCGTCCACTCCTTCCTGTGATGGCAGAGTGACCAGGAATGAAGGAGGGAAACCTGCTTCTGTGAAGGCAGTGTATTCCTGTGACCACAGGCGGCGCTGCTTTGTTCTCTGCAGGTCCTTCCTTCCACGTTTATGGGATCCACTCTGTGTCTGGACCTGGCCCATCTGCTAGGGCCAATAGGATAAATAAGAAGGAAAAGTGGGTCCCACCTTCAAGGAGGTTGGTCTACCAGGAAGGAGACTCTCCAACAGGGAACTGTTCTGCAGAGTGGGAAGAAGTGAGCAGTCTTAACAGGGGACTGAGTTCCTTCCTCCTGGGGAGTCAGGGGAAGGCCTCCTGGAAGAGATGACCTTGGAGCTAAGCTTTGAAGGACAAGGAGGATTTGAAGGTACAAAGGGAAGGAGAGCACAGGTCAGGCATTCTGGGTATTCACGTGCATGGATGTTTGGGGGATGGGTGGCCAGTGCTTAGGAGGGAGAAGGAGAAAAGGAGAGAGAGGTTGGCTCAATGGCACTCAGACGCAGACCTGGCCAGAGAGACCAGTCCTCTGCACAGTGATTGGCTCAGGGATGGGCACGCGACTCAGGCTGGGCTGATCAGAAACCTGCAGGGGTCTTTCTGCAGGTGCTAAGAGGAAGCGGGTGGGGGAACGTAGGTCTGCAGCTGCTTGCAGCCATCTCGCCCTCCCCGTGGAGAGAGCCCTTTGGAAGAACAAAGCTGAGCAAGAGCAACAAGGAGCCTGGATGGCCCAACTGTGACTGAAACAAGACCCCTGAACTCCCCAGTCACGTAAGTCATAGAACCTCGCATGCATATATTGTTGCCCCAAATGCCAAAAGACCTCCAGCTGAGACGATTTTGTGGGGAGAGAGCCAGACTGAGAACCCCCAATCCACAGGGCCAATGCCCTGCTCTCAGATCCCTAAAACAAGCCCAGAAGGTAAATCTCCCAGCCCACTCCCTAAGTGTCCCCCATCCACGGGCAGATGGTGGTGGGGGATGACAAGGGAAAGAGACACTATGTGGTGGCCCTAGCCCTCCATGCATATTAGCTCACTTAATCCTCCCCACGAGCTTTTCAGACAGCCACTATCCTATCCTTGATACCCAGAGAGGCTAAGGAACCTGCCCAAGGTCATCCAGACAAATGGTGGTGGGGTGGGGAAGGGATTTAGGATGCCTGGAGGCAGCCCGTCCTCACTACTCAAGGGTGGCCCGGCCTTCTTTCATCCTTCAAGGTCCCCCACAGCACCTCATCCTTGGGACCCTGGCCCTGGCTCCCAGGCTGAATCCAGGGCCCTGCACCCACTCCCACAGTACACAGGACCAGGCTGTGCAGTCAGTGACTGGTGTCCCCCACTGAATGGAAGATCCTAGAAGGTGGTGATGGGGCCAATTATTCTGATCCTGGGGCCTCCCGCAGCACTTTACGCCCCAGGCCTCAGGGCGGCTGAACTGAACAGCCCAGGACCCTGGAGACCCTCCAGAGCCGCGTTTCTTAAAATCTGATCTCCAGACTACCTGCTTCTGACTCACCTGGACTGCTTATTAGAATGCAGATTCCAGGGCCTTCCAGAAAATCTACAAAGTCAGGGCTGGTGTTCCAGAATATGCAATTTTAAGAAGCTCCCCAGGTGAGTGTGAAGCAGGCTCAAGTTTGAGAACCAGGGGTCTATAGCAGAAGCTGGCAAACTACGGTCATGAGCCAAATCCAGCCCACGGCCTGTCTGCTCACAGCCCATGAACTAAGGATGGTTCCTACATATTTTAATGCTGGGGGGGCGGGTAGGGAGGACCGAAAGAGGAATGATATTTTGTGACACATGAAATTTCTCCGAAATTCAAATTTCAGTCCCAGAAATAGTTTTATTGGGACACAGCCACACCCTATGCTCCCCGCAGCCCTCGTGGTACAACTGCAGAGCTGAGGAGCTGCCAGAGACCACACGGCCCACAAAGCCTAAACTATTTACTACCTGGCCCTTCACAGAGAAAGTCTGCTGACCCCTGCTTGCCAACATACAAGGATACCTCAAAAAGTTCACGGAAAGATTTGTATGACCTTTTAATTCTCTTTTTCCACAAACTTTTCGAGGGCTCTCGTACTTTGCAGACTCCTGTTGGTTAAATATTGTTTTAGCACAATCCTCCCAAATCACATCTATTTTATAAATTACACAGAAGTATCATTTATAAATATGGAATGTATGTTGTAAAATTTACACACAAAAAAAACGAATAAAAAAGATATGAGATGAAGAAGACCAAACCCAGGAGTTCTAGGGTTTTCTTCCTGTCTCCCCACTGGGACTTGTTGCCCATCCCCCACCTTGCTGGTGGTGCTAAGGCCCAGGGTCGGCAGGCTCTGTGGTGCTGGGCTGGCCTGGGGGTGGTGGAGGAAGTGGGACAGAGAATGACAGGTTGAACAGCTCTCCTGCACCCCCCCAGGGGAAACTCGGAAAACAGGACAGGAGGACAAGGAGAGAAACTGGTCCTATCCCAGGCAGGCCCAGGCCCTGAATTCTCTCCAGGCCTTGGGCACCTGACGGGAAGCTGGTTCTCACTTCCTGTTCTCCAGGATCCTGGCTACATAACAGCGCAGGAGACAGTCTAGGAGGAGTCCAGGCTGGAGGCAGAGAGCATCTCATTTAGGGGTTTGGGTCAGGACAGGCCCCTCTTTTTCCCTGCCCCTTCCCTCCATGCCCAGGCAGGGACCTACACCCAAATGGCAAAACAGGCTGAGCATATTCCTGAGGGGGCCGCAGCAGCACCGGCCAGACTGGAAATCCATCAGACCCCCCAACTCCCACTCAGAAGGGTACCCAGGGGTGAAGTTCTCACAGATAAAAGGTGGATCTCCTCAGCCCCACTCCCTTAGTGTCCCCTGTCCACTGGTGGGTTAGGTGGGGACAAGACAAGGGAAGGAGGCACCCTCCTGAGGTCTCCAGGCTCACAACACAAGGCACCTGCCTTCTGACTTTTGTCCTGGGGGTGGGAAAGGTCAGCTCCCCTTGTTTACTTTTCTATTCATGAAAGGAAGCCTGACCCTGAGAACCAGTGACCAGTAAGGGAAGTGCAGATGTGGAGGGGACAGAGGTCTGTACTGGGCTCTGAGGGTGCCAGCAGGTGGCCTGGAAAGACAGGTGTCCCTGAAGTTGGGGGCCCAGCTACCGTGGGTGACGGCCTTTCCATGGGTGTGACTCTATCTACATTCATGATGGGGGACAGGGAGCCCTGGGGTAGAGGGTGTGCCTAGGCCCTTTATCAAAGGCAGGGGGTGGCCGAGGAGCCAAAGCCTGGTTCTGTCCCCCATCAGTGTCCCTCATCACAGGTGGCACTGCCCCCTCACCCCCATGCCTCATCCCTGGGGAATCAAGAGCCCTTCTCTTACTTGTGTGACCTTGCTAGAGTCTTTTTCCCCTTTGGGCCTCAGTCACCTCATCTGTGAATAGGCCGTGGTACCATTTGCTCCCAGGTGGTCCTAAGGACCCCAACCATCTCTAGGAACCTAAGCAAACTCGAAGCTGAAATCAAGTGTGGACATGTGTAAATTTCCACAAGTGGCTGGTGGAATTGATCTTGCTCCTTCAAACACTACACATGGGCAAATATATATAAAATTAGGGCCAGCTGACCCAGGCAGCGGGAGCAGTGGCACCCATACACAAGACACCCTCCCGCCGCCGATGCACGCCCACCTGCTACTATGAATATTCATAACCTTCACATCTGCACAGCTCTGAGTTCACACTGAGTTCACTAAAAGCTCTTCGACTGTTACCTCCCCTGACCCCGACAATAATCACCTTAAAAAATAGTTGGACGTGGACACTTTTGTTTTGTGTTTTGGTTTTTTTGGTGGCCGGCCAGTATGGGAATCCAAACCCTTGACCTTGGTGCTATCAGCAGCATGCTCTACCAGCTGAGCAACTGGCCAGCCCAACATGGACACTTTAATTTTCATTTTGCAGAAGAGGAAAATGAGGCTCAGAAGTTAAACGACTTCTGAACCGCAGACATGAGGGGGTGTCAGCACATGCAAAAGGCAAAGAAACATCTTCCAGACTCCGAGGACCTGGCTGATCCCTGTTCCAAGCTCAGCAAAGTTCTGATCTTCTAAGAGCCCTGAATGAGGATCACCATAAGCCCAGACACGTGAGCAGAGCCCCAGCTTGGGGCTGTCCTGGGCCTCCATGGCAGGAGGCCACAGTCTACCTGTGCCCATGAGGTCCAGGAGCATATGGATGCAGGGGCCCGGGCCTAAGGACCTAAGGACCCTCCCCTTTCAGCCAGGCCTCTACTGGCCGGGTCTCTGGGATGAATAGCCAGATCCAGTCCAAAGCTCTTCTGGCTGATGTTCCCTTTTCTCAAACCCCTGACTTTCCTGACTGTGGTGGAAAATAAAAGTCTGACTCTCTACCTGTTGCTCCCCACATGACTCTACCTCGTGGTGAAAGAGGAAACATCAGGCTTTGAATGGAATCATCAACTCACTAGCCAGGGCTTTTTTTTTTGAATAACAATGTCTCCCATTTGTCGAGGTCCTATTTTGTGCCCTTACACGCATTACTCGTTTCCCCTTCTCAGCCAGCGGGAGAACAACATGACATTATCATCCCCGTTGTACAGATGGGTTAAACCAAGACTCAAGGGATGGGTAAGTGGTGGGTTAAGTCAGAATCCAGTTCTAACATCAGAGCCAGAGTTCAACCACCAGGCAATACTGCTCCTTATTAGAGATTCACAATACTTTATTTTAAAAACAAATATAAATCTGTGCTCAACGTTACTAATAACCGGAGAAATGCAAATTAAAACCACAATAAGATACCACGACGCATGATCAAAATGGCTAACATGCATAAGTCTGAGGATGTGGAGTAATGGATACTCTCATCACTGGTGATAGGAGGGTCAATCAGTACAGCCACTTGGAAAGTCATTCAGCATTATCTGGTATAGTTGAAGGAACATACACTCTAAGAGCCAGCAATTCCACTCCACATAAGCACCAGAAGATATATATGAGATGTCCATAGCACCTGGAAACAATCCAAATGTCCGTCAACAACAGAATCAATAAAACGTGGTATAATCTTACAATGGAATACTATACAGCAATGAAAAATAACACGCTACCGCTATATGCAAACATATAGATGAATCTTTAAACCCTATGTTATTTCTAACAAAGGAAGCGAGACACAAAGAATTACATACAACATGTTCAAAATTAGGAAAAACAAAACTATAATGTATAGGAATGCACAGTTATATATTAAACCTATAAAGAAAAAGAAAAGTATCTGCACTCAAAATCATACTAGAGGACTGTCCAACCAGCCTGCCTGCAGACCGTTGAACTCTGGAGATGAAACTTTATTTAACTATTTACTATTGATTGCGCCCAGTCTAGAGACTGAAACTAACTTATAGAATATAAAATGCTAGTTATTTTTGGCTGACAGAGATGCAAAGGATTTCTGCCTATAGCAAAGATATCTTCAAAGTTTATGGTTTTATTGTCCTGTAGGACATTAACCAGTACGTAGCCAATGGTAGGATATTAACCCAGTTGTGCACCTAACTGCATCCAGTACTTCCTTTCACTTACTAGCATTTACCTCTCATATTCTCCAGCTTTAATCTCTAGCTGGTTCCCTCATAAGTAAGTTAAGTAAATATATGATAGGTGCTCGCTATATGATAGTTTGCAGTTTTACACTCTGCAAACTATCTGACAGGGCTAAAGTAATGTCATGTTCCACTTCTTGACAGGAATGGTGAGCAAACAAGTGTTTACTGTAGGTGTTACTGTGTGTTCTATTTCACAAAAAAGAAAAAGTCCTAGACATAAAATTGTACACAGAAAATCAATATGTAAGTAAATAAAAGCAGGGCCCCCCGTCAAGGGGCTCCAGCAATTAAACTCTGCCATCCATTAAAGCCATTAGAGCTCATGACCAAAGGCCAGGATTCTGAATGTATGAGGGGGTCTTCAGAAAGTTCATGAAAAGATTCATATAGTCTTTTAATTCCATTTTTCCATGAACTTTTTTTTTTTTTCCTTTTTGTCTTTTTTACTGGCCGGCAACGGGATCGCAACCCTCGGTGTCGCGCCCGTACCAGGGACTGGCAACGGGATTGCAACCCTCAGTGTTGCGCCCACGCAACCCTCGGTGTCGCGCCCGTACCAGGGACTGGCAACGGGATTGCAACCCTCAGTGTTGTGCCCACACCGTGCTCAGCCAGTGAGCAGGAACCGGTCACCACATGGGATCCGAACCCTCGGTGGGAGCGCTGCGCTCCCAACTGGCGCACTCTCCAGTGCGCCACCGGGCCGGCCCTTTCCATGAACTTTCTGAAGTACCCCTATAAGATTCGCTCAGCCAGTGAGCGGGAACCGGTCACCACATGGGATCCGAACCCTCAGCGGGAGCGCCGCGCTCCCAACTGGCGCACTCTCCAGTGCGCCACCGGGCCGGCCCTTTCCATGAACTTTCTGAAGTACCCCTATAAGATTCGTCCCAGAGCATGGGCCCAGGCCTCTCAACCCTTTAGAGATGGCTTTAACGATGACACAATTACTCATCACAAATGTATAACTTCCTACCATCTTTCTCAAAATGTTCTATACGTTCTCATTAGCAAAACTTTCAGCCAAATTTTACTTCATATCCTTTCTTTAGCTACAGTGTAGAAAGCAGAAAGGTCAGTCTTGAAAGTAATAATAATATTGACAACGTTTATAATATGCCAAGTTCTTGGTATTTTCCTTGCAACTACCTTTTAAGATAGGGGCTATGGTCCCCATTTTTACAAATAAGTAAACTGAGGCCCGCCTGGCCCAGAAATGACAGAAGCTGGGATCCTAGGCCTCTTAGCAGGACTGATGACAGACTGCGTCTTGGTATTTTCCTTGCAACTACCTTTTAAGATAGGGGCTATGGTCCCCATTTTTACAAATGAGTAAACTGAGGCCCGCCTGGCCCAGAAATGACAGAAGCTGGGATCCTAGGCCTCTTAGCAGTACTGATGACAGACTGCACATATCCAAAGCAAACACCCCCTGAGGAGACAGACACTTGTTTTTAAAATGCTCTGGCTGGCAAAAGCTGTCTGCAGCATATTCCTCTAGGGAAGCAAATCTGTGTCTCTCTGCAAGATGATCTGACCTTTAGAAACAACTAGGAGTCATTTGGTGCTAATCTGGGCAGTGAGTGACAAGTTACATACAGAAACACTATTTTGGATATGAAAGGTGTGGCTCTAAACACTATCTTTCCTTACACTTTTCTGGAGAGGTTGGGGCAACTTAGCAATGGTTCTAAGCATGGTTTAAAGTTCCCTTGGGGTTCTGGGACACAGCCAGGTCTGGTGGCCTCTGACTTAGGGGTTGCTGAAGCTTTTCCAGACTTTAAGGTGATGGCTCTCAAACTTCAGGAGCATCACAGGCACACAGGGAACAGGTTTAATATGCTGATCCCTGGGCCCCACTCCCAGGGATGCTGATTCTGACAGCCTCAGTGAGGAGGCCCTTGAGTCTGCATTTTCAGTAAACTCCACAAGTGATTGTAATGCATGTGTTTGGAGGCCCACATCTGACAGACTTTAACTGCATTCATTAAAACCAAGAGTCTTCCAGCTTTGTGATCACACTTCACAGGTCTCAGCTGAAGCTGCAAAAACAGCAACAGGGTCAGGTTCAAGTCACCTCTCCCTGCTCAGAGCAGAGGACAATCAGCTAATTGCAGCCCTGTGGTTAACGATAAGATGGTTATCTCCTTAGGTGTGGATGTCTTAGCCACAGTGAGTTTTGTTACTAGGACATTAACACCTCTAATGTAGTAGGGGAGATAGCAGGTGGAATAGGCTGAGTAGGGAGTATTCTGGAAGCCTTCCAGAAAGGGAGGCAGGGATGACTGGAGTTGCTTGTCTCCCTTCCTCCAAAACCCACAGGAAGAAGCAATGAGTGAACGTGCTGGGGGGTTGGGGTTGCAAACCAGGAGCAAATGTCAATGATAAAAGACAAGGGTCGTCACAGTGAAAAGCCACAGAGGCTAAAGAGCCAAGATTCCAGCTTTGTGAGCCATTCCCCATTACCGAGGCTATCTCCCCCCTCCCCCACTTTCCATGTTGAGAGCTGTAAGACACAAACCCTCATTACCCTGTGGAGTGTCGGGCCAGAAGGGGAGCTCGGGGTGGGAGGCCAGGCCCTAGCATATAAAGCGGCAACTGTGACAGGCCTTTTGAGGGAGAAGACGGATTAGAGCCCTCTGAGGCATGCCCTCCTAGCCCAAAGGAAGCACTCCAATTCCTCAGGCCACTACAGATCAACAACCATTTGCAAAGTTTACTTAGTAAGTCTACAACCTGCATCTTTACAAAATAAAATGGAACAGAAAAGATCTGAAAGTCCTCCAAGTAGTAAGTACTTGTTCATGAAAGTTTTGATTCTATTTTTTCTCTAAAAAACTGTATGCTTGTTTGGTGGGTAATGATGTAAAATGTGTTTTTTATTGTAGGCTGAAGTCACAGTTTGAAAGCCACAGTTTTGGGTATGCCTGGTTCTGCTGGCTGCCCTGTGCTTCTGAAATCCCCCCGACCTACCCAAGCAGCCCACTCCAAGTATGGCACAGCCAACCTCTAGAAGGTGTGCCCTGACAAGGACAAGTGGAGGGATGGGAAGGGGGTGGGTGCTTACATAGGCCACCTGAAATCTGGGCCCTCCACCCACAGCAACACTGGGCAACTGGTCAACCCCTTCTTGTTACAGACATGAAGACAAACACTTGCCCAATCCTTCATTTGTGGAACCTCCGAGCCCAGGCTGGCTGGGAAAACCATGCAGTATTGTGTGCCCCAGGACTCTGTGTATGGGGCCCCTGCCCTGGTTCCATGTGGTGGCTCACAGCACTCCCTTCCCCCACATGCCCAAAGCCCCAAAGGCAATACTCTCCACATGCCCAGAGCCACATAAGCTGCTGGTCTGTGGCTCTGCCAAGCAGGAAATCAAGGCCCTTTCTCTGGCCACAGATGTTGTGGAGGGCACACGATGCCGAGGACCATCGATCCACCGCCCACTCTCCACCCGCACCCCTGCCGCAGCCTGACACTGCTGGCCACCTGAGGCTCAGGAGGGCCCATACCATGGGGTACAAGGTCTGGCAGGCAGAGCCGGCTGGGGTTTTTACACAGGAAGGAAGAGCAGGCCAAGATGGGGGAGGAGGCCGAGGAAGGGCGGAAATGACTGCAATGTCAGCACCCAAGGCAGGCGGGGGAGGGGGGGGCCTGCCCTTCCCCACCCCACCCCCCAGTTTTGACTTTTGTGCTAAGATGAAACATCCAGTCTGCACCCTGACACCCACCATACCCAGAAAAAAAGAAAAACAGCTTCACATTTAGCACACAGGCCCCCCATATACCCCCTGCAAAAGTATATCCCCTTCAAAGAGGAAATGCTATGTGGGCTGAGTCTGGCAGGGAGGGAGTCTGGGGATGCACAAAGAAAAGGCATCAGGGAACTCCACACCCTTCCCTGCCCTCTGCCCAAGTGGCCGCCAGCTAGGTCCGCCCAAGAGCAGGGCAGTGGAGGAACGGGCCTCATTCATGCCTGCCAGGCTGGCAGGGAGGGCAGCGGACGGCGTGGGCACTGCAGGGGTAGGAGCTTACTCACGTTACTGATCTGGTCCTGGGTCTTCTTGATTCTCTGGAGCTCAGGCGTGTCTGCCACCACACTGAAACCTTTGCCCTTGTTCTTCTCAAACTCCTCCTTGTAGCGCACCTGGAGGCCCCAAGAGGGAGGGGAGAGGACCGGAGTCAGGCCTGGGGAGCAGAAAGGGCCTCAGCCTGCAGCCCCCCTGAGACAGCAGCCAGCCAGGAGATGGGGCCAGGGAGTCAGGAGGAAGAGCCTGACCAGAAATCCCCAACTCAAAGCAGAAGCCTTAGCTAAGAAGTATTAGGCTTGGGCCGGCCCGGTGGCATGGCAATGCTCCCGCCGAGGGTTCGGATCCCATGTGGAGACCGGTTCCCGTTCACTGGCTGAGCGCGGTGGGGGCGCGACACCGAGGGTTGCGATCCCGTTACCGGTCAGTAAAAAAGACAAAAAGGAAAAAAAAAAAGTATTAGGCTAGGGAAGAGCCTGACCAGAAATCCCCAACTCAAAGCAGAAGCCTTAGCTAAGAAGTATTAGGCTAATAATAACCCATTCACATTTCTTCGGTGCACTCTGAGTGGTGGGCGCAGTGCCAAGTGCCTTACACGAACTATCATACGTAAGTCTTACCACGCACACACACACACAAACACTTATTAGCTCTATTTTACAGATATGGAAACTGAGCCACAGCAAAGTAAAGTTCCCTGCCTAGGGTCACAGAGCTTAGCACAAATGTCCAGAGCCACCAGGATGCAAACCCTTGTCTGACCGACTCCTGACCCTTCACAGCCAGCCCATCCTGCCTGAAAGGTTCTTTCCAAAGTTCCTAGGGCTGTCCCAGCCCTCACCCTAGCCAGGATGTGGCCCTACCCGCTGAGAGCCTGGGGGAGTTCTTAAGTGACCAGCTGAGTAAGGGCTGTGCCAAAGGACAAAGTTGGTGCCCAGAAAGGAGGGCGGTGAGACAGCCACACGGAAGGCTCAATCAGTGAGCCTTTGACAGGCCCTGGTGGCTTCCTGGAGCCTGCCAGGATGGCTTCTGAGGCCACCGCCATAGGAGGGGAGTGAACTGGGGGGGAGAGATAGCATTTCAGAACAGAGTTCCAAGCTCCGGGGAGGAACCCTACCACCCCACCACTGCCCTCCTCTTCGGAGAATTCCATGGAAAACTCAAGTACTAGAGGGACTCAAGTGAGATATCAGAAAGGACTTTGATACTAAAGGAATTAAAATATGAGGAACAGCTTGTCCTCCCCTGAGGCTTTTGAAGGACAGAATGAAGGCTGGGAAATACTCATGGGACAGGGAACTGTTCCTTAGCTTCCAGAGACTTCACTGTCCACCTCGGCAGCCATCTGTTCCAGACCCCACCAGCTGCCTGGATTTCCTCCATGGGGGCTGCACTGTCCTGAAAACAGGTCAGACCAGGACACAGGGCCCAGGAGCTTGGGAATTTCCAGGATGATGAGCTCAGGCTGCTCCCAGGCATGGAGTCATTCAGCTGCAGTGCTGAGCTGCACCCTCACCCGAGGACACACACATATACAGCCATGGCTGCACCTGTCGGGTCCTCTGCACATCTCCCAGGGCTCAGGGGTCCTTGTTTGTTCCCCACTTATCTGTGGGGTTCTACTTCCTTCTTTGTTCTGATCTAGACTAAAAAGAAAGGCCTGGATGTGCTAGTTCCCATCAGACCAGAAATTAATGGAGTGGATACACACACCAACCCACCCAGGAGCCAGAACCTACCCAGCATCTTCCAGGAAGCCCTGGGCCATCACGGTGACTCATGCTGGGGGAGCCCTTTAGGAAGGGGGATTCAGGGAAGGTAAGGCACTCAAAGACAGAAAAACATAGTTTCAGATGCAGAAACCCTGAATCTAAGGCCTCTGGCCTTGGTTCCCCATCTGTAAAAGGAGCTGTCAATTAAAATATGGGGAGGGAGCTTCCTATCACCAAGTGCGGGCACAGAGCCAGACAGTGCTGGTACTAACACAGGTTCAGTCTCCCACTTACTGAGTGATCTTGGGCCAATGACTTAACCTCTCCAGCCTCAGTTTCCACATCTGTAAAATGGAGATCATAATAGCCTCCTTCCAATCACCAATGAAGACAGAGGCTCTAAAGTAGCAAGCGCGCAACGCAGCACAGAGTAGGGCTCAGCGCACTCCTGAGAATGACTGTGAAAGGACTTCGTCAACATTGAAGTGCCAGTCCCTCACTCCTCCCTCTGCTTCCTGGCTTTGCAAGGGTCAGGCCCCTAATCCAGGGGAATAATCGCCATGGTGACACTGCAATGACATCAGCTGGTTCCCAGGCTCAGGAACTGCCTCCCCCTCACTGTTGGGGAAGGATAATTACTTTCACTCCTAATTAGGAGGCCCAGGGAGGGTGGGGCTGAGGGGAATAGGGGCTGAGAAAGGAGGGAGGCCCGGGCTCAGCACTACTTCGCTGTGTGTCTCTAGGCAAGTCAGTTCCCCTCTCTGGGTCTCCTAAGGGGAGCTGGCTAGCTGATCTCCAAAAGCCCTCCCACTTGGAGTCTGTGACCATTTTTAAGTAACTTCAGGCCCTGATTATAGAGAATCAACGTAGGTAAGATTCTCTGAAAGGCCTTTTGGTGCTGGAAAGGGTGGCTGGAGTACGAGGAGGCCCAGAGGCCCCCCATCACGGCCCCTCCTTATTCAGGTAGCAGTGCTAACCCTTACTGTCTGGGACGGCTTGCCCAGGGAGATGTAGGGGTCCCTGTGGAGGGAAGGGATCTTCCTGAGGTCACTTGACCCCATTGTCTTTCAGGTCAGGGTGGAACTCAGCACTTTGGCCAGATGACTCCTGGGCGATGCCCGGGCCTCCCATCCTGGAAACTCCCACGGCAGGGCCAGGACTGACGCCTGAGGCTCCTGACGCCCCAACAATCACTGTCCATGAAACTGCTTTTTATGTGTAGGTTCCTAGTTATTACTCCTGTATCTACCTTGTTCATCACTTACTCCAGCAAACAGTAGGTACAAATCAGTGTGTGTTGGATGAATGATGAATTAATTGAATACAGGCACATAATCATATATCTCCAAACTAACATGGCAGCATAGCTTGGAAAATATCTGCTTTGACGACCCAACATAAAAAAAAAGAGCATGACTTTTTGTTGCTCTTGTTGTTGGGTGGACGGTGCTGGCTAATATGGGAATCCAAACGCTTGACCTTGGTGTTATCAGCACCACACTCTATCGAATGAGCTAACTGGCCAGCCCAAAAAGGATAAATTCTCATTTCTTTTTTGGGCAGCTGGCCATTACAGGGATCCAAACCCATGACCTTGTTGTTATAAGGCTACATTCTAACCAACTGAGCTAACTGGCCCGCCCTTTTTATTTTTTTTGGTGGCTGGCCAGTATAGGGACCAAACCCTGGACCTCGGTGTTATGAGCACCACGCTCTAACTAACTGGGCTAACCGGACGGCCCTGAAAGATCATGACTTTAAAAAGAAATTTATTGGGCCGGCCCGGTGGCGCACTCAGTAGAGGGCGGCGCTTGGGAGCGTGGCGGCGCTCCCGCCGAGGGTTCGGATCCCATATAGAGACTGGTCCACTCACTGGTTAAGTGCAGTGCAGGTGCAACACCGAGGGTTGCGATCCCGTTGCCAGTCGTGGTACGGGCGCGACACCGAGGGTTGCGATCCCGTTACCGGTCACGAAAAAAGACAAAAAGGGGAAAAAAAAGAAAGAAAGAAATTTATTGAACAAAATATGTCACCAACAAATTTTCACTTATTATGTGCTTACGAGATGCTGGACCCACATACTATGTAACCCATCCCCTACCAACAAAAAAGAAATCAGTTTTTATTTTTATTTTTGGCAGCTGGCTGATATAGGGATCCAAACCCTTGACCTTGACGTTGTAACACTGTGCTCTAACCAGCTGAGCTAACTGACCAGCACAGAAATCGGTTTTTAAAGTAGACACACAGAGATGGGGAAGAGAGCTAATGAAAAGGGCCAGGACTGGAAGCGATGGTCAAAAGGTCATTGTGTCCATTCCTCAGCTTCATCACACCCAAGTTCCATTTCCTCTCCTTTCCAGGTGAATAGTCATAGCAAACATTTACTGGGTGCTGCCTCTGTGCCAGGAATCGTTAAATGCCTGACATATATTAATATCCTCACAACAACCTTTAGAGAGAGGTCAGCCCTATTTTACCGATGAAGGCACAGTGGCACAGAGAGGTTAAGTAACTTGCCCAAGGTCACAGAGCTAGTGGTGGCAGATCTGGGATTCTGATTTTAGGCCAGTTGGTTCAGGTAAGAGTGACACTCTACAGGTGTGCTGCCTGCTGTGCTTGTCACGGGGTCCAAGAGAAGAGTGGAAATCTTGCCCCATGACACAGTGAGGGGTTCTCACAGTACTGTCCCTTTCCTCTATGGCATTTCCCACAGCACCATGAATGTGTGACAATGAAGGAAAACATGAAAAAACACTCTCCAGGGGGCCGGCCCGTGGCTCACTCGGTAGAGTGCGGTGATGATAACACCAAGGCCATGGGTTCGGATCACTGGGATGGCCGGTTCGCTCACTGGCTAAGCGTGGTGCTGACAGCACCAAGCCAAGAGTTGAGATCCCCTTACCGGTCATCTTTTAAAAAAAAAAAAAAAAACACTCTCCAGGGCCACACAGATACCTCCACACAATCCCACTCTAAAGCTTCTGCCTCTCCTCGGCCTGGGTTGGGGGTGGGGGAGCTGCAGGTGAGGAAGCAGGGCTGGAGCCCAGCTAACCTAACCCTAACCTAACCCTAACCTAACCCTGACCTAACCCTGACCTAACCCTGGGCAGGACCACTCGGAAGATTATTTCTGAACAGCTCTGTGGTTACCTCTCCTGCAGAGGAGGCTCCAGGTGTCCCAGACAACCAAAGTACCATTTTGGGGACCAGGCTAAAGACGGGAAAACAAAGTTGAAATAGCATGGCCTGAGATACACCAGGGCAGGATGAGGAAGGGACCCAGGAAAGAGACTGGTGACAATCTGGTGGGTGGGGGCAGGGCAGGCCGAGGAGGCTCCCACTTCGCCTCCCACCAGCCACATGAGCTCCAGCCAGCCCTGCCCCCACAACGGGCAGCAGCAGGAACCAGAACCTGTCACCACCCCCAGCCAGGCCGGCTCAGCCTTCCCAGCCTCAGGGCCTCAGGCCCAGCCTCCAGCCAACTGGGTTTGCTGCCCCCAACTTACTGGCGAGGCAAAAAAGAGAGGCAGGCCTCAGACCACACAGCTGCCGGGAAGTGGAAGGGAGACAGAACCAGGCCTTCGAGAGGACAGGGTCCTTCTGCCTGCCTCAGCCCCAACCCTAAGGATCCCCAACTTGCCCTCAGCGCAAAGCCCCAACTCCCTCGCACCACACCCTCAGAGCACAAGAGGGGGATCTCTTTCTGCCATCTCCTGCCTGCCTCCACCCGGCCCACTGGCCCAGCTAAGCCTCTCGAAGTATGTCTTTGGGACCAAAAGTACCTACCAGCATCACCAGGGGAATGGGGCCGTGGCCGTGCTGTCCCGCCTGCATCCAGGCGAGCAACGGAGCATGCCCGGGGTTCTGAGACGGGGGCCGTGGGCTACTGCCCCTGCCTGCAAGAACATCTTAGGATGTATTTATTAGCCACGTGTGTGACTTGTCTGCTCATGTCCTTCACCAAATTTCTATTAAGATTTTTCTAGGGCTGGCCCGGTGGCGCACTGGATAGTGCACCACTTGGGAAGCGCGGCGGTGCTCCCGCCCGAGGGTTCGGATCCCACATACAGACCGGTTCCCGCTCACTGGCTGAGCGAGGCATGGGAGCAACACCTAGGGTTCCGGTCCCGGTCCGGTACGGGGGTGACACTGAGGGTTGCGATCCGTTGCCAGACACGGAAAAAGACAAAAAAAAAAAAAAAGATTTTTCTAATTCATTTTTAAGAGTTCTTTATTCATTAAAGACGTCAATCTTCGTGTGTTAAATTTATTCCTTATCAATTGACTTTAAATTCAATTTGTGATGTTTTCCTTTGTATGTTGAGAAAATAATTTTCTATCTAAACGTTAAATTGAAAAAAAAAAAAATCACCAGGGGCGTCAAAATGCAGATTCCTGGGTCTCACCCAGAGCCGCCAACCAAAAGCCCCCTGGTGAGGCCTAGGAATGTGCATTCTCACATGCCCCCTAATACTGGCTGGTGACTGGTGCATCCTGCAGGAGGGAACATGGGGCTGGAGCCACTGCAGAACCTTAAGGGCAAAGGGCTCTGGGGCCAGATCAGCTGGGCTGGAAATCTGCCTCTGTCATTGGGCTCCAGGCAAGTGGAGTGACCTCTCTAAACCTCAGTGTCCCCATCTGTACAAATGGGGGTAATAAGAGCCCCTCCTTCATCAGTGGTTGTGAGGATTAAACGAGGTCAGGTATGCATAATATATATACACATCCCCAGGGATCAGCTTCCAGGGGCAAAAAGAGCTGCGGCCCTACTTTTGTGGGACTGACAAAGGCTGAGGGGTTTGAATTTCTCCTCCTGACAGTAGGGGTGTGTGTGTGTGTGTGTGTGTGTGTGCCGCTCCCATACCTGTAGCCCTGCACCTTTTCTTTTTTTTCTTATTTTTCAAAAGATGACCGGTAAGGGGATCTTAACCCTTGACTTGGTGTTGTCAGCACCACGCTCAGCCAGCGAGCTGACCGGCCATCCCTATATGGGATCCAAACCCATGGCCTTGGTGTTATCAGCACCGCACTCTCCCGAGTGAGCCACGGGCCGGCCCGCCCTGCACCTTTTCTGAGTACCTACCGTCTCCTCCCAGCCCTCTTCCTCCAGGTCCCTCTGACACTGCACCTCTGGCCTGAACCAGCCTTTCATAGGATGGGGAGTCCCAAGCACTAGTCAGGACATGTCTAGGGTCTGCTCTGGCAGCCGTCTGTCTCAGAGCCCTCTCCCTGCC